TCTCTATTGACTTGGATTTCGAACCTTTTTGTCACATGTGATTTACTTTTTATTAGTTGGAGGATTTTGTCTATGGTAATTAATGTTCGATAATCGCATTTTTGTTTGAGTACCAGGCTTCTAGGAATTCTCTGGCACTTTCGATGTTTCCTTTATTTAAAATTTCGACATTATCCCAGTCAAACTGATGTCAATAATTATCTACATGCATTCATATGAAACAAGTATAAATATCGTGTCTTTTTACAGATAATTTGTGTTCTTGAATTCTAATTCGAAGGGGACGTCCACTCTGACCGATGTAATGTCTGCTACAGTTCATACAGGCAATTTATTTTGTAAATGGCATTATAATTTTATCTTGCTTCTTTTTCTGTTGTGTGGATCTTTCGGTTTGCACAATATCGAATGAAGTGATTTTGCTGGCTGGCTTGTGTAATACATCTATTTCAAACGGTTTCAATATTCTAGCTGTTATTTTAGAGATATTTTTTATATATGACAGAATGAATTTTCTTGTAGTCTTTGATGATGGTTTCTTGTTGATGTTCTGACTCGACTTTAAACACTTTTTGATGAAATTTTGAGGAGGACATCCATTCCTCTCTTCAATACAGGAGTGCCACAGTGTGTTTGAATTCTTTTAAACAATGTCTGCAGACAATTTCTTTTGTGGATGATCCGGTTGGGTTGGTGCTACTATAGTTGGGTATTTGATCTGTATGTGTTGATTTTCCATATACTTGTGTTTCTAAATTCCCTGTGTTAGTTCTCCTGATTAAGACATCTAAAACTTGGATTTTGTTGTCTAATTCTTCTTCTCTCGTTGTAAATTTGATGTCTTCAAATATGTTGTTTATTAATTCATGGGTATATTCCACAGCATTTCTTTTAATTATTACAAATGTATCATCAACGTAACGTACCCAGAGTTTTAGTTTAATTATAGGTCTAATCTTTGCATGACAGCTTTAGCTATTAATCCTGATATGGGCGATGATCCAATTGGTGTTCCTTTTATCTCTTCGCATATTTGAGTATTGAATTGGAAGTATGTTGTAAGACACAATTCTATGAGTTCCATCATCCCAGTTGAACATTGCGTTTTTATGTTTTCAGCACTATAGAGTAATTGTTGCAGAGTTTCTGTTGCTAATTTTGAACTAATTGAAGTATATAATGCTGTGACATCATCAAAGGATACCATTATTATTTCATTGTCATCTACTTGAATGTTTTTGATTTTCTCTAAAAATTTGATTGACAAATTTATAGAATAGTCGCATAATTCTGTTAGGTATTTTGAATTTCTTGAAAAGTTCCTTAGATAGATTATATGTTGGTGTTCCTGGAAGCGAAACGATTGGTCGTAAGGGAATGTTTGGTTTGTATAGTTTTGGTCTACCATAAAATCGAGGTAAATTATAAGTCCGTTAGATTTTATTCATCATTGATCTTGTTTTGTAATTTGTCGTGATTAGTTTCCTAAATTGATATAAGAATATAAGTTGTGCACTGCTGTGGAGTATAATTCCATTGTGGATGAAATTTATTTTGATAAAGTCTGACAGTGTTATGCAGTAATATTTACTGATGACCACGTTTCGAGTACGATTTATTGCTGCTCATAATCATCATTTCAAGTTACTCACACAACTTTCCATTATTTTTCATCGCTTCACTTGATTGGTAGTAGTATTTTCCATATATCCGGTACGAGTAATGAGTCACTCTTATCGTACGTGTTGTGTTGGGTGTAGATTCTATGAACAAAGATTCAGTCATCAATCTCTCTCTCTCTCTCTCTCTCCACCTACCTGAATTACTTCTTAGAATTTTAACTTTGTCCCACCCTACTTTGTGGTTGTGTGTGTTAATTAATGCATGCAGTGCGATTGCTGACGTTTTCTTTAAATTAATTATCTTTGTGGGGTCATTAATTCTAACCTTAGCTAAATTCTTATGTTCCGACAGTCTCACTACTCCCGATCTACTAGTTTAACCTATGTAGTTATCCCCTACGACCTGTAGTAGACTACAGGTTGGATGCGATGGAATTACCTTGAAAGCTTTCCTTTTCTCCATTAAATGACTACTATCAACTTAATGTGACAATATGGAACTATGGATAGTTTTTTCTGTCCTTCGACAAATCACAACGGGAGATGTTCACTAACACGTTGGCTAGGCTGTCTAGCAATACGCCCGACACAACTGTTGCCACAAGTGCAGTTGCGCCGATAAATGCACACAGACGTGGTAAAACTATCTAGCTTATCCTTCGTTTGCGTCCTAATCATTCGTCGGCTAGAGAATGAAAAATACAGGTTCTCTACGCAAAGTGTTTCACGTATACTTCTGGAAAGTCTCTGGAACCAAATCTCACCTGACAAGTCACTAGTAAATTGTAACTTTATAAATAGAGGTTTTTTACGTGCAGTCATAGTCTCACGTTTTATCTCTAACGTTTTCATACGTTTCTTTATGAAGCTACTCGGATAGACCATTTCCTTGAAGGAATTATGAATTCACCTGTACATATCTTTCTTGGTCTGCTCGTAAGACACTTAACAACATTTCTTGTATGCTTAATGGGCACGTGACTATGTAAGTGCATGCATTGCCGTGTGAATGTACTTTTCAATACACGCTTCTCTAAAGTGATCCATCTTCCCGCATAATTAGCAAGATACCTAGAAAATGTAGTTCACTATCCTGCTCCCTGTTTATAAGTAAAAGTAAACGAAGGGTGGACATTGTTGAATCTCATCAACAATTCATCTATGTTTACATCCCCATCAACTAAGATAAATGTATCATCGACATCTAACTCCTTGGTGATGCCTTTCAATTTTCAATTTCTTCGAGGATATAGTAGATGTAATCCACCGTTTCGACAAGCGGTACATTTATTTTATTTTTTTATTTTGATCATCGCTTTATTCCACACTGTATTTTTGGTACAAGTATGAAATTTTCGGCAAGTGAAATCGGTAGCGCAAATTTTGCAAGCCGACCATTGATATCAAGTGTGCATCAGCAGGGGATCGAGCCCCGGACCATGTGCAGGGTCGGCGAGAGTCCTAACCGCTGTGCAACCGATGGAAATCCACAAACAGTGATAATAAATCTATGGATAAAATATATTTATCACTAACATGAATCTCGGACATATTTTAGAGATGAAGTCAATGACATCATCGATTCTACACTGCACAATTTTTTTGTGCAAAAGTCTCAGATTCATAACTTGATTATTGTCATTACATATTCCTACAACAAGTAAGCGTGTGGATGATCAAGCTGCTGATAATGTTTACTTGGGTAAATAAACACTACACAATTCAGATAAATTACGTCTTCTTACATTTTTACGAGTTGATCACAGATTGATATCAGTTGAAGAACTATTCAAAATCAGCACTGGGGTACTGAACAACTTTTTCATCCTAGTTCGCGAATCATCGGCACTACGCACCCACCACAGGAAGTTCGAACCCAGGACCTTCCGGTTACAAGGCAAGTTGGCTCGTATACCATTCAGCCACTGGGACACACCTATCCAATGGCCAGTCCATGAATTCTAACTTCTATCAAATCATGATTTAGTGCGACTGGCACCAACCAATGTCATCGACGGGACATCCATCCTCATATTTGATTGGATGGTTTTCAATGGTTGGCCACGTTAAACTTTAAGCACCATTAACTATCAATCACCGAATGACCTCGAATGGTCCAATTAGGTTTATGAACGTGAGTTCAAGGTTGTATAGAGCTTGGTTCGTACGAAATGCCTTCTTTAACGAAGTTGTCCTTGCAGTTCGATGAGGATAAGGCTTTCAGTACTGCCTGGATTTAGGGTTGCATAGGAAGGAGGGGATTTGTTCATGTGGTGGTGTCAACAGCATAAAAAGTTTCATTAGGTCGATTGATGGATACGTCCATCGCTGGGCAATTTGTTTGAGACGAGTTAGTATTCGGGAAGGTAAGCTGGTAATCTCAATATTTCATAGGAACAGTTTTTGCTAGGTCTCAACTCTCCCTAACCCAGATCTTGTATATTTGTAATTGCTGGGATTTAAAACAGCCTATGAGAGGTGCAGCTGCTGAAACCCAAAATAGCCTCGTGTCAACAGTTCATCGGTATCAGTACTGCAGAGATATGGCGTCATAGAAAATGAAGAGAGAATTACTTCGTCGTACACGTGAACGAAACTGCGTTACTGAAGAAAAATTACAACCGTGGTCGTCAGCGAGCCAACAGTGTTTGGGTGATCGGTTTATATGACACCTCCCTGCGGAAAGGATTCGTAGAGAGAATACCAGACAGAAAGTCTACTACCTGAGTACCTATTATCACTCGATTTGTGAAACAAGGATCCATGGTACATACTGATGAATGGAAAGGTGTTAACTCCTTTCATCTCTTGGACATATTCACCACAGAATGAACCATTCTAGTGATTTGGTGGATCCCATTACAGGGACACTCACCAATTCTATAGAAGGCTTTTGAGAAAGGTTTAAAAAAAGATTAAAACCATTAATGTGTCTCAAAAAGATGTTATTTATAGTCATTTGGATGAATATATGTACAGAACGTGGTGTAATTTTTCAGTTGATAGGCCTATGCTAAGTTTAGAAATGTTTTTATCGCATGTCAGATAATGATATCCTATGTAACAGTTTTATGCCTTTTTTTCCATGAATACACGTTTTCCTTAATCAGAAGTGCCTCTTTCATGTGATTGGTCCGTTGAAGGTTGTTCGATGGTTGGTAGTTAGTGGTGCTGAAAGTTTAACTTCGCCCAATGGTTCTCTAACTGATATCAATCCGTGATCAACTCGTAAAAAACAAAACTAATCCTTACAAACCAACTATAGAAAATTAATCTTCTTATATTGTTTTGTGAGAAATTCATAAAATGGAACTAATTCATTCAAACGAAAATAAATTATCGATAACCGGATGAGAGAATAAAAGGAAGACTACTCACTTTAGAGGTGATAAATAATTCACTCCGTTTTATATGCATATTTTTCATTGCCTCCTGTAAAGCTATACCGATTTCAACTTCATTTTTATAGATATAAGCACAATCAATATGACGATATCCAACTTCAATAGATTTTTGTACAGCTGCGCCAACCTCTTTTGGTGGACTCTGATGAAAAAAAAAGACAACAAAAAGTACAAAATGTTGCTTGGCGAATGATGACGATAAGCAGTAGGATTCAGAATGTACATTTTGTCCTATTTGCAGACTCATCATCTGGATACAATCTTCATTCTCCATTGAGTGAAGTAAATGCAGACTGACTGTACGTACAGTGGAGAGGCCATTGAGCGGTATAATAACGCCCTAGTCTGTCTAGCGTAATCTGAATAAGAAGCTATGACCTGTGATATTGAGTGATCTCCAAAAAGAAATTACGAGTTTGTAGGCGACCATTACACATGACCTTAGCTCAGAGAGCCAAGAAGCGATCAGTTGGTAGAATGGTGAATAAAGTTTTTTAATGCAGAAATTAATTTTGTATTATATTATTATTTCTATTCCCTTTGGCTCCGAGCGGTACTTTGGGGCACGTAGTAGCACAACACATGTCGACTTTTTTCTGTTCTTTGCCGTCCTCTTCAGCTAGGCCAACTACTGCTCATAATCACTCACCTCCTCTAACTCTCACGATCTCCATATCACCCTTGTGGTGACGACCCACTCTTTGATTCTCATTTAGGTTCCATTCGAGCGATGGTCATTGTGGTGTATAGTGAAACCTAATGGTGTCCTCATCGTGTATCCGAACTATCGCCATTTTCTCCTACATATTAGTTGAACAGTCAGCTCTCGCCTGTTGGTTTGTTCCCAGTCAGCCAGAGTTTCTTATTGCTAGTTCTTTCTGGCTGGTGATTTGATCCTCAGTATGGAGCGTCGGTGGTACGGAGGTAGAATGCTCACTAGCCATGCAGGTGGTCCAAGTTTCGATCTCGGGCCACCAACGCACTACGTTACCTCACTAAGCCATTAGTAAGACTGGTAAAGAGGAAAGGTTGGGCATGAGGCTAGCAACCTCATCCCGTGAAAATAAATACCACTGGTACTGAAACTTCAAACCTGTACCCTAAAGCCCTATGTTTCCCTGGGAACGTAAAGGAGTAAAAACAAAGCTAAATGTAAAGAAATGTGAACATTGAACGTTGGTTCATTGGTCTTAGTGGCCATTGGTGGGCAACTCGAAAGTTCAATCGTATACAAGTTGGAAGAAGACGAAAGAATACGAATAAAGGTACAGTACACTCCTCGTAAAACTTTTTTTTATAGACTTTTGTACGATAAAGATTTTAACTGCTGAACAGTACAAGTTTTTATTGATCCTTTGTGTTTTAGAGTCAAAGTCAATAATAGTACCTAGTAATTATCGATTCGGAGCGTCTTCACAAATAATAGGAACCATTAAGCAAGTTTAAAATGACATTAGACAACGGAGTAAAATGACGGTGTGCTGCTGAGGAACCATAGTCCATTCAGAACCAAAAGGGATATCAATAATAATATTAATAATACAGTTTAGACATTCGCACATAAACCCACTTACATTCCATGTTCCAAGACCAATAACTGGAATAGAATGACCATTGTTCAACTTTAGTATTTCCATTTTTTGCTCCTTCTCTTTACAAAGCTATGAAATATGAAAGAAAGAAAGAAAGAAATTGTTTTATCGTAAAATATGATAGCAATGTGAATAGCAGTTGAAGATAACTCTAAACTATAACTTTCTTTTCTATAGTTTGGTTTTTAAGGGTTAGAGAACCATTGAAAACCAACCACAGGGAATACTGGACAGCTGCTGTTTCATCCTAGTTTCGGGAATCATCGGCAGTACGCACCCACTGCCAGGGTTCAAACCAAACTATAGAAAATTAATCCGACGCTCGCTAGTGACTGACTTGCTACAGGATGGAGTTTCCTGCAGTGAGTTCTAGTGAGAAGTTGTGATCAATGAGGTCCATTTAGATGTCACGTGTGTGGATGGATGTCCCACAAACGACAATGGTTGGGGTGGCGCTAAATCACCAATTGGTAAAAGTTGGAATTCATGGACTGGCCAGTGAATTGGTTCCCGGTGGCTGAATGGTACACAGACCAGCTTGCCTTGTAACCGGAAGGTCCTGGGTTCGGACCTTCTGTGGTGGGTGTGTACTCCCGATGATTCCCAAACTAGGATGAAACAGCAGCTGTCCAGTACTCCCTGGTCTTCAATGGTTCTCTTACTGATATCAATCCGTGATCAACTCGTATAAACTATAGCTATCCAAGCAAAGGATCACCAAAATGAACTTGGTAAGCCTTTATCAACCAATCAGATGTATCGATAGCAGAGACGCGTAATGTAAAAAAAGAAATGATTTTTCTATTGAAATCTAATGTAATGTTAGAAAAATGGCTGCGTTTCAAGTATACTGTCTATGAAATGGGTGAAATTTATTCCATAACTGAGAATAATAATTGTAAGTTTGATCACTAGTTGACATCAGTTAGAGAACCATTGGAAAACCTGAGATTCCTGCAGAGTTGTTTCGTCCCAGTCTAGGACTCCTCAGAAGTACACACCAATCGCTACTGAGATTCGAACCCAGGACCTTCCAGTAGAAAGACAAGCCCCTAGACCATTAGGAAAAGACCCAAAGACCAGTGAAATTCAATTTCTGACAATTCACTCACCCCCAGATTACAAGGTCGCCTTATCAGCGGAAGGTCCTTGTTTGGAACCATAGCGTCGGGTACGTAATGATGAGGAGTTCCAAAGTAGGACGAAACTGCTGTCCAGTACTCCCTTCTGGTTTTCCAACGTTTCTCAGCTTATGATCAAATCCTGTAACCAAGTCGGATCCCTGTAAACCAATACTTGGATATTAAGTAACCTGCATTTTTGATTTTACGTCACTTTGCAATTTACAATACTTGTTCCTAATTTTAGATTATTCAAGTAATTATCTTTTTTATACACTCTAACAAGCTTAACAACAACTCTCATTCTCTTCCATTATGTTATTTAAAAGTCCTTCACCTTTACGATCAATAACCAGAATACTTGTATGTTGACATAAAAATAGTTAGTCTATGGTTTGTATAAGTTTGGTTTTGATCGTCTAGTGGTGATTGCTTCAGTAATACATAGAAAAACTGAAACTATCCTGAATTCTGAAGTCATTTGGTTGATGGTGAGTGAATAGCAGTGGAAACCAGGATGAGCATTTCGTCCTACTTGGGACTCGTCAGCTACTGGATGTAACTGAATTCCCCAGCGAGTGATGGTGTTACCACCGAGGCTCTAACCCCCCAGTGCCAATAGTCTGAATTTTAATTATCCTAAAAGATTTTAATATATCCCTATTTCATGACCACTATCTAAGAATTTGTGCGAGAGATCGCACTACCAAGGAATTAGGCATCTATTAGTTACAAGTTACTTACAGTGTGGTGAGATATGCGGTTACAAATCTTTCTTTCTATTCGTGTGATGTAAGTGCTTGGCATGTACATCCCTACAAGCTTTATAATCAACAACTAAAGTATTTGAGTATTTTCTCTGCTGCTCGTATCTTGTAATTTATGAGCAAAACATGGGGAATCCCTGCCTTAGTCCGGAAGAGTAGAACCTATCCCGTCACCATGCCTTTGGGTTAATAACCCTTCAATCATTCGCGCACATGTTGAACCCCACCGTCCGTGTGTCGAAACGGGTCGGCCGAAACTAAGACACATACACACCTACCCAGCTGAGCATAATCAAGCTGTAAACTGACTAGTATCAAGGCGACCAAACCCAACCCATGCCCTTAAGGAGAGAGTGAATATATAAAGACACCGTCATCGATACACCGTAGCTCACAGAAGGCATCAGTAAGTCACTAGTCAACCCAGTCAAGACCAACGTCAATCAGACCTGATCAGTTTGACTAAAACAGTGCTCGTCGTGACGGACAGCCTGAGAAAGGACACTGATAATCAGATCCATATACCATCTAATACTTGAAAGTACATAATAAGCTCACCAAAAATACATACCAATTGCACCTCCAGTTAGGTGGACACTTGAAAGACCTTACAGTCAAATAACCATAGGCGACGGTGCTGGGCTAATCACGCTGTTTACTCTCAGTTACCAGGAGAAACCAAGTTAGTTTTTTTCTTCGTCGTTTAATGACATGCTTAAATTCAAAGGGTATTCACATCTGGCCCTAGGTCATGTACTTTCTAACTTTTGTATACATGTATATCCGGACAGCATTAGGCAAAAACTCGAGCATAACCCAATGCTGCAACTCAATTAGAAATTCTACACCGGACCAGACAAATTAAGCTGGAGTCTTTGACCAACACCATGCTTTGATATAAGAGGATAAATACTGGCACGCACTATTCCGATCCATCTTTTATGGTATGTCATGACAGATAAAAAAAAAGCCTACCGTCAGAGAGATATCGGCAAGCATGCGTTCAAAATGTCCATGTTCAAAGCAGTATACAGTTCACATTAATTCACACAATTGGCTGCACTCTTCATCGACCCACGAGCTGAGTGATCTATCACTCAAAGTTGTATTCCTATAGTCCTATACACCGATTTCTCAGATATTTAGAACTAAAGGTTCAAGACTGCAACTGGGCCGCAAGTCTATCAGGCTAGTGTACATGCGGGTTAGCATTATTTATGGAGTTAAAAAGAATCAAACAAATAAAAAAAGGTCAGTTTTATCCTGCTCAATTTGTTCGTTTTGCTCTGTTCAAATTTATCAAGAGAATTAAATCATATTCAATTCAAGTATTGGTTTGTAGGGATTTAGTTGATTGGCTAAAGGATTTCATCATGAGCTGACATTAGTTAGAGAACCATTGGAACACCTGGTAGTACTGAACAGCTGTTTTGTCCTAGTTTGGGACTCCTCATCAGTACACACCCACCAGGATCCGAACCCAGGACCTTCTGGTTACAAGACGAGCTCGTATACTATTAAGCCACTGGGACCCAATCCAATGGCCAATGAATTCTAACTTCAGCCAATTCACGACATAGCGCGACCGCTAGCCAATGTCTATTGGGAAGTCATGACCAGCAGGGTGCAGCAGGTTGGGTGTGAGGACAAAAACTCGCCAGCGAAGACATTGGCTAGTGGTTGTGCTTAATCGTGAATTGGCAGAAGTTAGAATTAATGGGCTAGCCATTGGATCGGATCCTAGTGGCCTAATGGTATACGAGATCGTTAGCCTTGTAGCCAGAGGGTTCTCGGGTTCGAACCCCGGTGCGTGCGTACTGGTGAAGAGTCCCAAACTAGGAGTAAACATCTGTCTAGTACTCCCAGGTTTTCTAATGGTTCTCCAACCAATGTCGGCTCATGATGAAATCCTGTAATCATATTCAATTATTATATGGAAATAAACGTCAATTTTTATTGTACAGACAAAAGAATACAGTCATTCTAGTTCGGTTTATGCACATTCAAACAATTTAACTAGGCAGAATAGAATGAATTTTGATCAAACCTATCTCCAGTTCTCATAATTTTTGTAGATTTATTAAATGAAGTTTTTTAAACCCTAATATCAAGTCAGTTCTTGAATATGAGGGCATCAGAAACTTGACACATGCATTACAAAAAGCGCTTTCAATAGGAGTTGGCTGGAAACTTTGATCAACAGCTGCCTTCACTGCCTCCATACTGAAGGTCAGATGGTCTGTCAGAAAGAATGATAAACAAGAACCTATCGTCTAATAAATGCGCAGAAGGAAATAGTCAGACGTTGAGGAGATGGTTGGATGACATCACGCTACCGGCAGTGCCTAGAGTGGAGCCAGTATGACAAATGAGTTGGACGACCGAAGGTGACAAGTAGGAAATCGTATTTGGAGATTAGAGCGTATGGGCAGTCATAAAAGCCTGTTTAAGGGGACTGCAAGCAACAGAATGAAATGCAGATGCCCTGTGGAAGCAGGTGTGAATAGTAATAATAATAATATGTTAAGATAAAAAGACATTTTAATTAACAGAAACAAATTAATTGAGTGAAGTGCAAAGCCAACAGACAAGCGCTAAGAAATTGTATTCATCTGAACACTGAGTTACGTGGAATGAATCACATTCACTGAAGTTATTAGTTGGAGGATTTCATTATGAGCTGACATCAGTTACAGAAAAATTTGAAAACCTGGGATTAAAGGACAGCCGTTTCATCTTAGTTTGGGACTTTTCATCAGTACGCGCCGACCGGGGTTCGAACCCAGGACCTACTGTTTACAAGGTGAGCTAGATCGTAGACCATTATGCCACTAGGACCCCAATCAATAGCCAGCCCATGGCTTCTAACTTATGTCGATTATTAGTTGTTAAGCAAATATTTACAGTGTGACTTTGATTTCTGTGGAGTTTTGACAAAATCAATGTGAATTTTCATCACATACCGACACATCAGTTACAGAATTATCGAATAATAATAAAAAGCACTCACAAGGCCATTTCGTCTCGTTTGGAAATATTCTGCACCACTCAAAACAATACTAACATACATCAAAACATGCTACTCGTTAACGAAGTTTAGATTGAAATTATAAATATTCTGAAACCAGTAATTTGTGAGTAATTAGCCGTGAGTCCTGCTGTCATCGAAGCTTCGTTCTCATCTTGGATCACAAAGAAGTTCACTTACAATTTCCTAACTAGTGGAATGTCGCACACCAGTGCGGTCCACCACGTAGAGGGTCAGGACAAATACTTGTCGATAACACTGAATGGTAGTTCTACCATGTATCGCGAAACCGTAGGAGTTAGAATTTTCGGGCTATTGGAACCCGTCCCACTGACTGAATGATCTACGAGGTAGCCCTGTAACCTGAAGGTCCTGAGGTCCGACCCTCTGTCAAGTCATAGGTACGTACTGATGAAGAGTCCCAAAGAAGAAGGAACCTGTTGGCTAGTACTCTCTGATGGTTTTCAGTGGTTCTCTCTCTGTGGCTGAAGTCAGTTCGTGATTCATCTTGAAATCAATTGATCTCCTGAAATTCAACACTTACAAACTACATTACTGCCATTTTTCGACGTAGTTGTGTTCTCTGAGCTGGATGGTTTACACTTGTGGTGCTTTCATTGCCCTCCCCTCTCCCAACTAGGTAACATCTTCACCTCATACTTCAATTTGTAGTTAGCTTTAAAAATTTCTCCATGAGTTTATTAGTCATCCTTCCTGGTGACCTTCAACGTGAACCCAAGATTAAACCTACAATTTGGATATGTTACGTAGATGACACATTCGTAATAATCAAAAGAAAAGAGTTGGATAAAAATCATAACTTGATAAACAACACCTTCAACGACATCAAATTCACAAGGGAAGAGGAATCCAAAGACTGTATTCCATTTTTTGACGTCTTAGTCAAGCAAACCCCAAAAAAAATTAGAAAGTCAAGTTTATAGGAAATCAACCCGGGCAGATCAATTACTCAATAGCAGCAGCAACTAACCAATAACACAAAAAGATTTTCATACAAACGCTATTCAAGAAAGCGAGGACTCATCACAGCACTTCTACACTAAGGAAAACTGAAGAAAAATATCTTACGGACGTCTTCCAAAAAATGAATATCCACGAAACTTCATCAAAAGATGTCTACGTCCAAGCCAATCAACGAAATTAAAGGCCGTCTAGGAAAACAAAGGAAACCATCTTACCATACATAAAGAACGTCTCAGAAATGAGTGCAAGACTTTTCGAATCCTTAGGAATTGATGTTGCATTCAAACCGAAATAATCACTTCACTCAGCTCAAAAGTGTAAGATGACATCAGCCTCATCTACAAAATCAAGTGCAACGTTTCCAGTCGGCCAAAGTAGACGTCCTCTTCGTCTTCGTATCCATGATGATAAACTACCCGTCGAATGACATGATATCCACTCTTTCATATAACTGCAAAGAGACAACCACGGACACTCATTCGACTAGGATAATGTTCATATATCAGATAGAAGAAACCCCGAGAACGCCTGGAAGTTTCCGGAAACCTGATATTCCAAAGAATCAACAATAAACAGACAGTGAACGCCGATAAAATTTACCAATCCATAGGAAAAAGAAACCGCAGGCATAAAAAGTCAAATTTCAGGTCAAGAAAACAATCAATACCAATACAGAAATAGACTGGAGGGTGTGAAAACAGACAAAAGCAACCAATCACGTTCAAGGTCCCCAGGAAGGATGACTAATAAACTCATGGAGAAGGACTCACGGCTAATTACTCACAAATTACTAGTTTCAGAATATTTATAATTTCAATCTAAACTTCGTTAACGAGTAGCATGTTTTGATGTATGTTAGTATTGTTTTGAGTGGTGCAGAATATTTCCAAACGAGACGAAATGGCCTTGTGAGTGCTTTTTATTATTATTCGATAATTCTGTAACTGATGTGTCGGTATGTGATGAAAATTCACATTGATTTTGTCAAAACTCCACAGAAATCAAAGTCACACTGTAAATATTTGCTTAACAACTGATAACTACAGTGAATGTGATACATTCTGCATAACTCAGTGTTCAGATGAATAAAATTTCCATTTCAGAGAACACAATTACATCAACATTCTTTATGTGGGCCAAAAGTCTCCACTATATAACTGAACTGTTCGCCTAGAGTAAATAACACAAAGTACGCCTACTAGAACGAAAGAACGATACAAGACTACATTTCGAAGCGGAAGAAATGGTGTTTAGTTTTGTTATTTTTACGAGTTGATCGCGGGTTGATATCAGTTAAAGAACCATTGAAAATCAGCACTGCAGCACTGAACAGCTGCTGTTTCATCCTAGTTTCGGGAATCATCGGCACCACGCACCCATCACAGGAGGTTTGAACCAAGGATCTTCCGGTTACACGGCAAGCTGGCTCGTATACCATTCAGCCATTGGGACCCGCCTATCCAATGGTCAGTCCATGAATTCTAATTTTTACCAATTCGTGATTTAGCGCGACCCGAACAATTGGCGGGTGCGTACTGCAAATGATTCGCAAACTAGAATGAAACAGCAGCTGTCCAGTACTCCAGCGCTGGTTTTCAATGGTTCTCTAACTGATATCAATCCGCGATCAACTCGTAAAGGTAACATAAATAACCCTTACAAACCAAACTATAGCAAAATAATCTGATGCTCGCTAGTGACTGACTTGCTACAGGATGGAGTTTCCTGCAGTGAGTTCTAGTGAGAAGTTGTGATCAATGAGGTCCATTTAAATGTCACGTGTGTGGATGGATGTCCCACAAACGACAATGGTTGGGGTGGCGCTAAATCACGAATTGGTAAAAGTTGGAATTCATGGACTGGCCAGTGAATTGGTTCCCGGTGGCTGAATGGTACACAGACCAGCTTGCCTTGTAACCGGAAGGTCCTGGGTTCGGACCTTCTGTGGTGGGTGTGTACTCCCGATGATTCCCAAACTAGGATGAAACAGCAGCTGTCCAGTACTCCAGCGCTGGTTTTCAATAGTTCTCTTACTGATATCAATCCGCGATCAACTCGTAAAGGTAACATAAATAACCCTTACAAACCAAACTATGGAAAATTAATTTAGTTTATTCCATTACACCTAAATTAGAAATAAATTGTAATTATTAAAGAGTTGAACTATTGAAAAGGAAGATTTTATTTAAGAAAGCGTATTATATTTCGTAGCATGTTGACTACAAGCACACACACACACATACACAGAAGTCTGCACCAATATGAATCGTTCAATAAACCAAGATTTATGTCCAAAGGGGAATTGGAACGTATAGCAACGATATTTGTTTTAAAATGTTTTCTCATTCCACCTTTATTTTTTTTACACATCTTCATTAATATTCATCATTGAATGGATATTCAGGATGATCACTCATTCTGCGAAAACAAAAAGTATAAGAAAGTTAATTGAAACTTTCAATGACTTCTGCAAAATTGATGATATTGAGATATACAAATCAAGTCTGACAATAATAATAACATTAATAAATTACTTCATTCCAAAAAGAGTACTTCTGATACAGAATGAAATTTTCAGCATTAATCACACAATATTGCATCTAATTTCCTCTAATTATAAATAAAATTAATCACACACAGAAAATTTTCCACATTTACAATAGGGGTAATGTCAAAAACATGCAGTATATAAAATGGAAATAGAAATAATAATAATGATAACAGCTAAGGTAACAATAATAATAATACAAGTGAAAGTTGCCGAGGGCTTGTCACACTCAGTATTGTCAATGCGGTATAGAAATCCTAACATGTTAAAAAATATTGAATACAATGTTCTCTTTACATGATACGGTGAGGGGAAAAACAAAGATTACAGCAGTCATAGAGATAAGTTGGTGTTTGCAATTATGAAAGTAAAACAAACAAAGAAGCAACAGGACCATAAATATAATAGAAGTAATAAAAGTATAACTTGAAGGTATATAAGGATGGATGGATGGAGGAAATTGTTTATTTACTAGATGAAAAAAGGTTAGTTAGTTAATTCTTGCCTGAAACTATTTTCATTACATTAAATACGTGCTAAGAATGGTATCATAGAATTCTTATACTTAGACGTGCAAGCATACAGTTTTCTGAAGTTACTTCTTGTTCTACCTGAGGAGATGCAAGGTGAAAACTGAGGGTAAAGTGGATGCTCTAAGTCAGACAAAATCCCTCTAGTAAATTTATTGCACGAAGTCAAGTGCCTATCGACAACGATGTTAACCATGTGGTCCACTGGAACACCACTCACCCTACTGACTGACCGTCTTCAGCATTCTACGAATTGTGACATAGTCCTTTTTAAGCAAACCAGGAAAGAATAAGGGTGAACAATAAAGAAGAATAGGTAGGATGCAAGAGTTTATGAACTGTAAGAGGAGGGGTTGAGTTATCCCGAGTGCCTTAACTTCTTAATGTAAAATGTCAGGTGGAATATTTTACTGGAGATCGCTAAGACATGGGAAGACCAGGAGAGATCAGAAGAGAGAATAAGTCCAAGATACTTAATTTCTTATTTAATTCCTATATCACTGTCGTCAATCTTACAACAAGTACCTTGGATTAATTCTTACTTCTGATCTATCCTGGTCTTCCTGCATCTTAACGATTTCTAGTAAAATACTCTATCTGACAGTCTACATTAAGAAGTTAAGGCACACAGGCACAGAACTCAACCCCTCCTACTCTTACAGTTGGTCAACTCTTGCATCTTACCTCTTCTTCTTCCATGTTCACTCTTGTTCTTGCCCCTGGGCTGCTTAAAATAAGACTATGTCATACTTCGTAGAACTGTGAAAACTGTTAGTAAAGCAACTGGTATCCCCCACCCCCGAATGGACCATGTCATTGACATCGTCATTGATGATAGGCACTTATTTTTTATGCAATACATTTGCTAAAGGGATTTTGTCAGACTGTGAGCATCCACTTTTATTACTTGCAGCTTTCACCTTGTATCTTCTCAAGTGGAACAAGTCAAGTCATTTCAGGACTTTATCTGCGCACGTTTAAGTGTAAAAGTTTCCACAATGCACTGTTTGACACGTATTTAATGTGATAAAAGTGGTGTTAGGCAGGAATTGACTAACCTTCTTTCCACTAGTGAATAAAAAAATTTTCTAAGCTGTGTAATAATTGTTATTTTTGTCTTTCCCTTAACCATGTTATATCAAGTTAACATTAGATTCCATATTCTGTAACATGCTAAAATTTCATTACTGTATCGACAATATTGTTTGAAACAAACCTACTGTTATCATTACTACTAGTGTGGTGAGAACTGACTGTTAGCCAAATTGGTAGTCAGTAATTTACGTCAATGTTTATGTCCCCAATATTGGTCGTGAGAAAAATAAGAACAAAGACTGATTCAACAACCAACCACAGCAGACTTGTGTAGGCGTACACAGTTAGCATATAGATGAACTGACCTTCAACAAATAGCCACAAAGAGATGAAAGATTAATTTTCAATGACAAACAACCACTCAGAAGACTGTATTTTTCTGCTAACAATAATCTATAATATGTATATGGAAATCTATAAATACCTGTTGATTTCCTTAATAAACGATCTGTTGCCTGGCCGTTATTATCTGTTGTTATACTATTAGTGTGTCGTTATTATTCTCATCTTATACTTCACACATTTTTGACAGTTATACTTACTCTAAATGTGGAAACGTTCCATTGGTTGATATTATTCATATGTAGAGTAAATTAGATGCAATATTGTGACATATGCTGTACTACAAGCGCCGGTATTGGAACAGAGCAGATCATTAGTCTATGTGTAAAGCTTGGGCACTGTGGTAGTGAGTAATTCCATATTAGTTTGTCTATTAGATATATCACACAGTGTGAAACAGTATTATTTACTGGATGACGTTTCGAACATAATTTATTGCTCTTCATAATCATATCAATTGTAATCACACGACTTTGAGACTTGAGTTTTATAGTTTTCTTTGTTTTCTCCTATGTCGTAGGGGTAGTAGAATTTTCCAGATGTCAGGGATAGGTGATGAGTCATTTCTATTACATGTATTTGCAGTTGATTCGATAAACAAAGCTTCCCCTGTTATCAATCTCTCCCTCCACCCTGTGGCATTAGATTTTGAAACTGTCATCCTATCCCATCCATCCTATTGTATGGTTTTGTGTAACTGCATGTAGTGCTATAGCTGAACTATTCTCTAGATTTCTTATCTTATTCAGGTCAACCAATCTAGATTTTGCTAGGTTTTAATGTTCGGCTAGTCTGACTCACTGTCCCTGTTCTACTAGTTTGACCTGACAATCACTGCAGGCAGAGTATTAGATAAACTAAATTGTTTTGTTTTAAAGGCTCCACAGGAATTATCCTTTAGCCGACAAAGTTTGTTTCTAATTGAGTTTGTGGGTTTGAACGCCGGCCACTTTTATTCCTGCCGAACATAAAAACCTAGCAAAATCTAGATTGGTTGACCTGAATAAGATAAGAAATCTAGAGAATAGTTCAGCTATAGCACTACATGCAGTTACACAAAACCATACAATAGGATGGATGGGATAGGATGACAGTTTCAAAATCTAATGTCACAGGGTGGAGGGAGAGATTGATAACAGGGGAAGCTTTGTTTATCGAATCATTATCATTAATGGCAAAAATGTATTGGATGACACAGTATATGGAGAAAATAAGGAATAAAAATGTTTGTGGTGTTGATAGACACCGATACGTGACAGTTGACCAAAAAGTTGGACTTTTTAACACTGTTTACCTGAGAATGTTTTATTCAATATGTGTAAAGTTATAGAACTATCAAGCATGTTTGCATAACGATGAATAACAACAGTCTAAACCTTTGTGAATAGCTCCGACAATCCTTCAATATCTGTATAATGGAGACCGTATCATGAAACACACGATGGCACACGCTAATTTCAGCCACTTCTGGAGCCATCACAGCGTTAGCCTAGCTGTCAAAGTGAGTGTAGTCTTTCTCTCTCTACGCCTATGAAACTTGGCCTCTCCAAGTTGAGGATATACGACATGCCAAGCCATCGCCTCCCTCGACGAGCAGTGTTAGCGGATATAGGGTCAGGCTGGAAAAAAGCTAGCTACGGTCAAACCGAAACACGGCCTCACCAGTCAGTGAAATCCACAACAGTTAGTTTAAACCACGTAGGGAAGTGTAGACTTCTTGAGTGGTTGGGGTCCTCGGAACGGTAGAAACCAATGAAGGCTGGAAACAATTGGTGACATGGCTCAAAATCGTCCTCAATGGCTGGCTGGCTGCCTGGCTCAGATGCATCCACTCCTTGTGACTTATGATTTCCAATGAAACTGTTTTGTTCTTCGTTATTACTATTCCTTTGTCTCACACCTCTGTTTACTGTCTCTGTTATGTATTTCTTGTAATTTCTTCTGTTGCTTTGTGTGCTCAAAGAAGTGGAGTGTGGCTACTTGAACTGGTGCACATTTGTGCAAAGTTCTATGTCGAAAACAGACAGACAGACAGACAGATATACGACAACTCCGCGTATCCGACTATCGCTGTCTCCAGAGAATTGCTTACATTCGATGGTATTATTGTGAGAAATTCTGAGGTCAGGCAGTGTGTGTTTGGACACACTGGAGATCACCATTCATTCACTGAGTGTTATCATCTGGAAACACTGGCTGGGACATGTGCTACGAATGTCATCCCACAGGCTTCTGTACTGGTCTCTGTTCGCTAGTCCTGGGAAAAGATAGAAGAAGTGGTCAGTCAGCCTATGACGTGGTGTCGTCGGATGAAGGATATTTGTGGTAGGTTAGCATCGGTTGGTGAATCACGACTCCCTGGTTGGGGCACGACAGATAGTCCAAATCCGAAGCGTTATCGGATATTGTCGAGGATCGCGTAATCAATGGCGAACATGATGTAATTTCCTTGTTTCTTCCATTTCTAACAGCAATACGACGAATATCCTGTCAGGATGAAGTTCTTCATTCATTCCCTACTTATTTTTCTCACCTATTGTTTTATTATATTATTGTATACATGATATATATATATCATAATACTTTATAATCACATCATGAAGAACAAACAAAAAATCTTACTGTAACAATTTGAACTGGCGGTCATTCAAACCTTTAGTATTTAAATCATGCATTTCTTCATCGGATAGTTGAAAATCGAATATCTACAAGGGAAAAGATTAATGCTTATAGCGTCATAAGATATAAAGTCGTAAGAACTTTTTGCATCAACAAGCGCAGAACATCAACTTGCATATTTTAGTCAGAGGGATATATATATTCGGGAGAAACAAGTCATGCATCGATCAAATCGCAACACTGTCTATCGTCGTTGAACAGAGCCTGGGAAGATAGTCAGCTCCCTACCTCAACTTCATCGACTTTAAAAGGCCTTCAGCAGATAGCGTTGATCGAGAGGTGATTTGGCGACTGCTTCGCTACTACGGGGTGTCGCCAACAATTATACACCTTAACTAACAGTTGTACGATAATGCTGCATGTTAAGTAATCCACAATGGGAAACTCACGGGATCCTTAGAAGTGAAGACGGGAGTAAGACAAGCTGGCTGCCTGCTATCTCCAGTGATTTTCCTGATTGGTGGTGGTAAACTGGATAATGCGACAGACAGCGGGCAGTGAGGAAACAGGCATAAAATCGACCCACACAAGAAGAAACTTGGAGGATCTGGACTTCGCCGATGATATATGTGTCTGATTTCTCACAAACTGGAAGATATGCAAGCGAAAAGCAAAAACTTGGCAGAAGAAGCATCTAGAGATTATAGGAATTCAGGTGAACATAAAGAAAACAAGGGTGATGAAGATTCCTGACCAACAGCAATAGCAAAAACAACAGACAACAATCAGCATAAACGGGAGGAATCCGGAAGAAACAACCTCCTTTACCTACCTGGGAAGCGTAGTTTCAACTACAAGCGGAACTGACGAGGATATCAAAGCGAGGATCGAGAAAGCAAGGCAGGCCTTCATTACTCTTAAGTCTGTGTGGAGATCAACAGCATTCAGCATGAAAATGAAAATAAGATCCGGATTTTCAACTCCAATGTGAAGTCAGAGCTACTACACGGATTAGAGACTTGGTGCGTCACGAAGGCCACTCCCAAAAAACTACAGACCTTCATCAACAGCTGCCTTCGCTCAATACTACTCAAGATTAGATGGCCGACCAGAAAAGATCAGCAACAGAGGACGATCTCTGGGAGCGAATCAACCCAGCAGGAACCGATTGTGCAACAAATAGGCAGGTAGAAATAGATATGGATTTGGGGCCATACTCTGAGAAAACCATCAAGTGACATCACACGCCAGGGCATCACTCGAGTGGAACCCGAAAGGGAGGCGGCAAGTTGGTTGTCAGTGAGACAGTGACACAGAGGAGGTCATGTGAAGAGGAGATGGGAGCATGTGGGCAGACGTGAAGCCAGGTGAAAACGCTGGAGAAGGACCGAACGCAATGTTCGTTCCTCTATGAACCATAGGAAACAATAATGATATATATAGGTCGAATTATTCACTTCCCACCACTGAAGTATAATTTGCACGAAAAAAATACAAATCGACATGCAGTTAAAAATTGGTAAAAAATAAAGCCAACTTTCACTACGGCAATCAAAACCTTTGGATACAATAGATAATTCATCATTTCACTTATGAATACTTCTCATACCTAAGAGTAAGACAAAAATGATACTCCTGGTTGTAGTGGAACAGATTGCTCAACAAACTGTAGGAAACAAGACAACAGGTTATACGTTGAAAGGCTGACGAAAAAATTTTAGAACATCTGATTCTTGTGGATGATTTATGTTTCATGTTGCAAAAAATAACTCTGACATCTCTACAGGAGAAAATTCAGCAGGTTGGCAGAAGAGGTAGGGAAGACAGGAGTTTAGGTGAATATAGAGCGGGTAGAGGTGATAAATACACCCAACCAACCAACTACAACAGGCACCAATCAATATCACCAGGATAAATTCAAAACAAGTCGTCTCCATTCAATTGACATACTACTACTACTACTTCTGCCTATACTACGAATGGTAGTACAGATAAGGATTTCAAAGTCAGCCAGAATTGGTGCAGAATGCAAGACAGACCTCTCAAATCGATGTGGAAATCTACTAAAATCATGACAAGGAATAAGATCTGAATTTTCAACACATGCTTCAGAAACTTGGTACCTTACCCCCCAAAAAAGCATTTCTCATAGGCTGCAGCAAACTTTCACGAAGCTGTGCCTTCTCTAACTCACTACTGACGGCCAGCCAGAAGCGTTAAGCAACAACAAACTCGATTAAAGGACGAACCAAAATCCTATCACCCAACAAACATGCAGAATAAAAAGTGGAAATGGATTCTACCCGTGCTGAGACAACTATTGAGTAACATTAAGCACCAGGCAGGTTCTCAGGTAGAAGCCGAATAGGAAATGAGTTAGGCATCCGAGGAAAAGATGCAGACAGTCATATTAAGAAGTGAAAGACTATGACCAATCGTGGCAAAGGTAATAACCTTTGCTTTGCTTTGACAAAAAAAACTACACTAATACAAATCAATATACCTGGAAGTTTTCTTCAATTCTTTTCGGTGTTACAGACTTAGGAACTACTATAAGATTCCTTTGAACCAAGTAACGTATAAGAACTTGAGCTGGGGTCTTTTTGTGACGTTCAGCGATTGCCACAACCCATGGTTCTGTAAGCAGATCAGTTTTTCCCCTGGGAAAAAGAGAGAAAAATTGAAATTGGATTATAAAATTATTTAAAAAAAAAGAAAACAGAGCATCTTACTTGGTTTATATGTATGTACCAAGACTGTTCCGCCTTGAAGTACTGCGCCATTCAGACGCACTAGATGTGATTCACTGCTTTGCACTGAATGTTATACACAAAATAAGTTGTATCTCTACATGCACATTAAAAACAGATGTTCCACTGTGGATATTTTATACCAATATTGTCTGTTTTCGACATAGAACTTTTCACCGATGTGCACCAGTTCAAGTAGCCACACTCCACTTCTTTGAGCACAAAAAGCGACAGAAGAAATTACAAGAAATACATAACAGAGACAGTAAACAGAGATATGATACAAAGGAATAGTAATAACGAAGAACAATACGGTTTCATTGAAAATCATAATTCACAGGGAGTGGATGCATCTCCACCAGCCATTGAGAACGATTTTGAGCCATGTCACCAATCGTTTCCAGCCTTCATTGGTTTTTACCGTCCCGAGGACCCCAACCACTCAAGAAGTCTACACTTTCCTACGTGGTTTAAACTAACTGTTGTGGATTTCACTGACTGGTGAGGCCATGTTTCGGTTTGACCGTAGCTAGCTTTTTTCCAGCCTGACCCTATATCAGCTAACATCGCCCGTCGAGGAAGGCCATGACTAGGCTAGGCATACGTAACACATGTCCTAACTATCTCAATCGGTGTAACTTCACAGCTTCGTCAATTGATTTCCCCTAGCATTCGACACGTGCGTACCCCCACTATTGCTTCCCATATTATACCACTTTACACGAGAGATAGAACGCAGGCACCTATGATCGAAGACAGCTAGCTATGCTTTTCAAGTCTACCACTTTCAATGGCCAGGTCTCACTCACAGCCATTAAGGAGGACGGAGTGGACTGCTGAGCAGTAAAACCGCCCTCTTGTCGATAGCCGAATATCACGTCTACGCCAGAGACGGCGTTAACTGGTATATGCGAAACTAGCCCTCTGTATCCGTGATAAGACTTCATCGGAGATCAATCCGTTGAACCTGATGTAACTTCCCGAATAAGTGAAGCGGTCAACGTGTTCTACCACTTCAATCCCTATTTCTAAAAGTGAAAGTATCAGTATCAATTTACCTTCTAATATTGTTCAACGATTCTTCTTTATCCCTTAAAATTAGACCAAAATTAGTAACCGAAAGGGTGATTTTGGTGACTAACTTATTGAAGGCGTAACTGACTGTTATGTGCATTCAAATCGGGATAATATCTGAGTGTTGTTCACATGGGTTCGTTTAAGAATGTTTTAAATAGCCTTCATGTATTCAAAACTAACCTAATGTTACGATAATAATTTGCAGCAAGCTCTTCATCATCTGACAAGTCGGTGGATATAGTAATTTGCCACTAATAACATTTGTTCCATGCCAGTGACTTTCATCAGGCTAACCGTCCTCAATATGAATGAAACACCACACAAAATCTCTGAACCTTTATTATGAGGATCAATACACTAATATCATTATCAATGCGAAAGAAGGAATAAGTAAACAAGTCGGATATTTTTATGCAAAGAAGACAAGGCCACCTGATGTTGGCCATAGCTTGGTTCACTTCATGATATTCAAGAAATGTCAACACGTGTTATGTAAGTTACAAAGTAAGTGGCCCATAGGATGCCAAGCTTCGAATTAAGACTCACATATGCAACCTCATATTGGTGGTATAAGAGGTATGCGAAACAATATGCCAATAAGTAAATAAATAATACAAACGCTCAGTGTCATTTGAAGCACAAACAATAGACAGAAGACAAGTGGTAAGGGTTACTCAAAATTTTGACGATGACATTCATTAACTTGAAAACCACTTTACATTATTATGAAGATTTAAATCTTCTTGTCGTTACATATCACCGAACTTGATTCGTGCATATAGTTTAAGGATATCAAGGGAAGTTGAACTAAAAGAAAGCAGATACTTGTATAAGTGGAACAAATTGCTCATTTATGTCTAAGATACTCATATCTTTAAGTTGAAGGTGATTATTTCCAATGAATGATCATCGTGAGTGTTAACTTGACTCAACTTGATGGGATCACATTTAAACCTTAATCATTCTACAAACAATTGGGCAGTTACATGGTATGATATGATTACAAATGAGAGGAGTAGCCTACTGTTCAGCAAAAAGACATACATCACAGTGTTCAGTAACATTTCTCCAGTTGCAGACCAGATGATTTACGGAGATATCACGTCATTTAAACTCATTTATCAAACAATGGACTGAAATAAATCCGGCAAAACTAACAAAGATTCTATCATACAGGGAGTCAAAAGAATAGTTATAATAATAGTAATCTTACGGGAAACCCGTAGGTGAACCCAAAGGTGCATAGGCAGTCACCGTCAAACCAATTGATTGTGCATATTCAACCAATTTAATATTTGGAAAGTTGGCATGAATTTCAATCTGCAAATTGACTGGTTTAATTCGGCAATGCTTAAGGATGTTTTCAATTTGTCGTTTATTGAAATTTGAAAGGCCAATAGATTTTACTAAACCATCATCGACTAATTTCTCCATTTCCTTGAATAAATCAAAAGCATATTTAACATTAGATATGCCAAAAAGAAACGTGACAAGCGTTAAAAATTAACACGCTGTAAAACTGATAAAAACACAACAGTGGTAAAAGTAATGATTTTTAACCAGAGGCAACTACATCAAGACCTGCAATATCACTATTAAGAGATATAACAAAAGTCTAGTTCTAATTGTTTGTTAAGTAAATGATAAAAACAACCACAGACAATATTTTATTCAACTCTTACTACATGTTAGACAACGAATACGCATAGCGCTTCTCAACCAATTTCCAACTTTTGAAGCCGTTTTTCTTACTAGTGACGCACTATGTGAGAAAATGTTTGATAGAGATCAGTGGAGAATTTCGCGTTTATATTATAGTGGATATCAGTTAGCTAATTAGTTCGTTCGTTAGGACATAGACCACATCACCAGTGGATTTAATTTCCTAACAAAACGAATATAACACACAAATGAATCTTTGAATTTTCTTCGCTTAACACATTACAGAGTAGAAAAGAGAAGATAGTATTGCGCTGCCCAGTGCTAGACTTCAGGGTTATATTATATATTCGACAGTGAGGATTAACTTTACACCATAAGGTCCATCTCTGTATCTAGAAAAACTAATAGTTACAAGTGAGCACTGTGTACCGAATATGACCAGTTTCACCGCAAAACACAAGTCAAATAAAATGCTACAATAATTAGTGACACAGAACGTCAATGATGAGTACATTACGATTTCAAAATTAAATAAAATGTCAGTAAATAACAAACAAACCTTCCATGTTTCTTCATGGGGCACATTATCTAAACAAAACTTTCCATCTTCTTCTGTAGGTAAACATCCTTTACCAGGCTATATTATTAATAAATGAAGAAAGCTTCGTATATTAACCTTACTTCAAATGGAACCGGCCAATGAACCAGAAACAAATCTAAATACTTTAGACGTAAATTCTTCAAAGTTTCTTCACATCCTTTTCTCACGTTTTCCGGACGGAAAAATGTATTCCATAACTAGACATGGTAATAATCAATATCACACAAGTTACCTTAGAAGTGATAAAAATATCTTCCCTTTTTAAATTGAGTTCCTTCATTGATTCCTCCAACGCTTCACCGATTTCTGCTTCGTTAGCGTAGAAATAAGCACAATCTAAATGACGATAACCAATTTCCAAGGCTTTTTTCACAGCTGCACCAACTTCACCAGGTGGGCTCTGTAAAAGAGTACTATGTAGAGAATCTCCTGCTTACATTCCATGTTCCAAGTCCAAGAATAGGGATGAAATAACCATTTTCCATCTTCAGTGGTTCCATGTTTGAACTACAATACAAAATAAAAAATATCGTTATACTACTGTAAGACACTGAAAGACCCCAACAGTATTCAACCGGACACAGTTGCAAAAAATGGTGGTAATATCTACATTGATTAAACATCATTTGAGCTTTTGGGCATTTTGACTCCACGTTAATGACACACAGTAGCATACTGCTTGTGTATTTTCCAGAGAATAGTAATGTTGGAATGCATAACTTGTGATATCATCAATTAAAATCAATAAATAGTCTTGAAATTCATCACACGTATTTGGTCATAGAAATGCTCGATCCATAATCTAAAATACGCTGTAATGGCTCTTAACCATTGCAATCCTTCATTCTACATTTACCTAACTATAAAATTATATAATTAGATAGGTGTATTGAGATTCCGACTATATTATAATTCAGCTGTATGATGATACAGTAAACAAATCTCAGAAAGCACAGAACTCAGAGGACCAATTCAAGTAGGCACAATCAGCTATTAACATACCGTTTATGTCTTTGGTTTGACTACAAATCTGAGGACGAGCATGTGAACGTATTTAAAGATGATATCAAGGTCGTTTGTACCAGTATTCAATGCCCCCTTCAGCTTGCATAAACTTCATCATAACTTGATGGTCGCTGCTTGTTGTTTCGGCGCAGTTTTATGTCTTTGTCGGATTCCAGTACTTTCTATCTTCTTGACTTCTGCGGCTGTGCTAAACACAAAATCAAAAGAGCAACAGTAGTGTATTTTTCAGAGAATGAAAGATTTGCACCAAGGAAAGGATGCTGGTGAAACTTGTAAATTTCGTTTCTCTAACTAAGTCAATACTCTAGAGGAGTCACTAATAGCAAATATCAGGCTAAATCCAGAGCCAAATTAAAACAAATATATCCAATATCCGATTTCCCTTCTCAGAGCCTGTGAAAAATAACTGATTTCTACGGACAGTTTTTAAAATATTTAAATAATTATTCATTCTGTGAGAGCACTTTTATGCCCTTGTTAGAAATAAATTCAGTTTATCTCATCTGATCAAGTTTTCGAAAACATTAATTGAGTGATTGAAACTAAATATACGCACAGTGTAGCACACTCAGAGTGACATAAATGTTTGCGATGAAAATCTTTAAACTTTGGCAGGTGTTTGGGTCAACATTTTACAGGTATAGTGTGATGAAAGCTGGCACCAAGCTGAAACTGTAGACAATGTTCACGTGCCGAATCGGGGTCATGAGAAAACAAAACAAAACTATAGGAACTCACCAACCAATCAAGGCAGACTTTAAGTGTGCAGATAGTTTTCGCAGATGTGTAGCATTACTTTTGGAGTAACGATTGCAGGCAGAACATAACAACCTTCAACAAGAAAACAACTTATCAGAAGATGTTACTTCTACGCTGACAATAATGTACATTAAAATCTACAAATATCTCTTGATTTTCTCAACAATCGATCTGTTGCTTGGCCATTGTCTCGTGTTGGTACGGTGGAACCAATAAATTTAGCCGAGTAATTGACGACTGGGAATGAATAAAAGTCGCAACTCCTCCAACGCATTTATCTTTTGAACAAAGTCGGCCTTGTCCAAATAACATGAAAGCATTTGGTAAGATCAGGTTATCATCATCGAGATCACAGTGCCAAGTTTCTTGTAATGTGGTTATAACCATGCTGTGATAGGGGAGATTGAGGATGATTGATTTTACAGGGAGGAAGAAGTTTGTATTACCTATGACAGGGACAGCAGTTTGATTTAAAAGTGCCATTTTACGGCGCGCTGACATCCACCATGATTCTTTTTCTTAGCTTTCTTAGAACCTCGAAAGTCACTTGGTTTCAAACGTTTTATGAACACTAGGGAATACGCGATGCTATTTAACGTCATATTTTGTTCAACGGAATAAAATTCGATGAGCTGGATGTACCGTTTAAGTGGAAGAATAGAGAGCCCAACTTCCGAACAGGTTCCCAAGGTCATCAAGTTTCAAATAATCAGCCAATACTAAATCTGTCATCTTCTGCCCTTTCAATTAGTGTCACTGCCGACAAACATTGAAGATCCGGCAGTCAGGTGCTTTTCAGAAGGAAGACATCAATAGTTCCTTGCGAGACTTTGAGGCCGTTTGTGGTTTTGGAGGCGTCAGTGATCTGATGGCAATGTCGGCGGGGACGCCGCTGGGAGGTTGAGGAAAGGCGGCGTATGACAGTCTGCAGAAGACAGGCGAAACGGCGATCTGGAAGGCATCGGTTAAATACTAGTGGTAGAGGTTGACAGATAAACCGGCAGGCAGTTGGCGACGCATCAGTCAGCGCCGTGAGGGTGGGAACGGACAGAGACCTCATGGTGCTACTGGTGAAGCTGACGTATGTCAGGCACTCTTCAAGTTGAATGAAGAGCTGATGCAGCATTTTCTGGCGCCTCAGTTCAATGGTAGTGATTGCAAATCAGCGGATATGTTGGGGACATATAATAACAACACTCATATGTGGGACAGCACTTTACTGCTAAGGCTCCTGAGTTCGAATGACTTCTGAAAATAAAAAGAATAAATAAAAAAGAAATAGAAGTTGAAAATTGCCTAAAGCCGCAGTTTAGTCACAAACTTCCGAGTTCAAGTACATGGCATGTGTCACCCACCACTCCCAAACCGTTAATGCCCAGCTCTTGCTCCACTCGGGCTCACGCTGTTCCTTGAAGTTTTCAGAAACGCTTAGTTATAACGGACGAAAAAACCAAAACACCGATTGGCCGCTTGAGATTTCTTTATTGTTACACCAACATATAAATATAATAACTGAACTAAGGTCTGTGAACAAATATTACAATAATAAATCATAGTATTACTTCTGACGGTTTTCTGCTGACTTCTTTCTGAACAGCGACCGATGAGACGATGACTGTCGTATTGATGCCTCCGCGAAAATTGGGGAAGTTGGTTTTGAGCGAACAACCGTGAATTGATCGTTCAATCTTCAACTCCATTGACACTCCCCGGCACAAAGGGATCCAACCCATATTTCCTTCACGACCAATACACGTTGACTTGGATGCCATTGCGAGAACCTGGGTCACATGGACAGAGCTGAAATGGAAAACAAACAGAAAGCCAACACACCACAAGCATACTCACAGAACAATCTCACACATCAATGACGACCTGCGCCTTCCAGTTAAAGGCATCCTCTTGATACATCCTCTTGCAACACAATCGCCACTTGCTAGAATGACTCTTGCAGAATGCAACGTGACCATGGCAGCACCTCACGATACTCCACGCACATCCTCTTATCTACTCACTACCAATTACCACTGAAATCGCTTGTCACTCATTCTGCCTCAATTCTAGTAGCGGTGACGTATGCGAGCCTCAGTCGTTTACACTCTTTCTCCCCGGCGTGTTGGACCGCACCTAACAATTATCTCCGTGTGCATTTCATTCTCAGCAATAGCCATCAAGGTCGTTTGCCGATTGGTTGTTAGTGGTGTCTAAAGTTTAACTTTGCCAGGTTGACGATTAAAAGTTGTGGAATGTCCGGACACACACAAGATTAACCAACAATTACAATAATTGGAACTCATACAATTACTTTACACAAACATATGTACAATCAACACATCAAATGTTGCGGATTCTGACGCGACAAACTATTCTTGAAGAACTGTAGGACTTACAGCAGTACGCCTACATTCCTTCTCAGGTTGATGATCCAAGTGGAAGTCGTCCGGACACAAACAGAATTACCAACAGCTAGATGACAGATGATATCAATTCAGTATATACAACATGAACATATGTACAAAATCACACACCGAGCACATTGGACTGCTCATTGATGCGCTACCCTTTGAAGAATTGTAGGACTTACAGCAGTACGCCTACAAGCCTTCTCAGGTTGACGCCCTAGTTTGGGAAATCGTCGCAGAGTTCATTTGCTGACTTCCTTCTATGAGCTAAATCCTCAAATCTGAACGGCAACACGCCCATGTCATTGTATCGTAGAATATAGATGACGAACAAACACACGACATATCTCATCAACCAAGTGTAGAAACAGAGTAATTTACACCAAAGATAATAACATTCAAATAGTAACTTGAAACTAGAAATGCCTTTATTCGTGCAAGTCAATTTAACAATTACTCTCCCGTTTTCACTTGGCTTATCCTCACTAAACTGACCATAGATATTCCTCCTTTCAAACGAACTGATACTATCATAGTCATTGGACAAGATACTTGAGTTGATGGGCGACTGTTTCATTGTGGATCACAGCACCAACGACGACTGATTGATATCAGTTGATGAAGTTAGCGGTGGATCAAAAGCTGTTGTTGCTCGGCTTTCGGAAATTTGTCTACCTGCAAGACCACCACCACTGCTGTCTTTTAATATCAGCTCAGGTTTAGCAATAGCATCTGATGATAGGTGGGCTACATGCTGATCAATTACACTGACTGTCTCACAAGTATGCATGCCTTCAGCAACTGCATCTGCATTTATTTCTGCTTCACGTTCAAGTTCAACAGAACCTTTATTTAATTTAGCATTAGTAGGCATTCCCTCCAATTTCATCATGACCAACCAAAGACAAATCTGCACTATTATGATCATTACCACAAATATTCACTTTACCGTCAACTGCATCATTTTCAAACTCTTTAATAACAGAAGTAGACAATTTTGGTTCCTCCTCGCAAATCCTAAAAGGTTTAATAACTTCACTCTGACTAGTAATACCTTGTAAACTTATGGAGTCAGAACTGGACTCTGAAGCAGCAACTCTATTCTGTGACACTCTATTCAACAATGGCTTACCAGTTGCAACTACAGACTTCTTCACAACACCGTTATCGTCACACAATTCGGAGTCAGACCTGGAGTTCACATTTAGCTTATCACTGAACTTGCTCACCGGTTCACAGTTCACCTTTGTATGCACCTCTTGAAAACGTGTAAAACAAAACCGTGCTTGTCTTGCATCTTGTAACTTATCTGT